CAGCAGTAGGGTGAAGCCCAGCAGGATCCTGGCAAGGACGCGAGCCCGCGGTCCACAGGCTACCCCCTGGGCTCCTCCTCAAAGGGTGGGCTGACACTACTCACCCAATGGTGTCCCCTAAAGATGCCGATAGGGCCCTGCTTCTGTCCATGGCCACTGAAAACCCAAGGGAGCCCAGTTCCCCTCTGGCTGTGGGGCCTCTGTGCATCCATCTTCATTGGACGGCGACCGGAAGTGAGCAGAGGTCACGTGCACATCACGGAAGGCATCCCAAGGAGAGAGAGGGGCAGGTAGGCACCAGTGAAAAAGACTGGCCCGGTGGCACAGTGGTTCAACGCTTGGTTGCTAACTGAAAGGTCAGTGGTCTGAACTCAGGTGCAACTCTGGGAGAAAGATGTGGCAGCCTGCTTCCTTCAAGATGAGTTTGGGAAACCCACTGGGGTCCTTCTGCTCGGCCCTCAGGAGCTCCATACAAGTCTTACAAGGCTGTCCTGAGTCTGAATCAACTTGATGGCAATGGAATTGGTTCGGGGTTTGGATTGATGAGTGAAAGTCAGTTATACAGGGAGAAGGGAATTCTGGAGGAGAAAGGAAGAAGACAGAGAGGTGCAAGGAAAGGTAGAAATGGAAAGGAAGGGAGGAAGGAAGGAAGGAAAGAAGGAAGGAAGGATGGAAGGAAGGTGTTGGAATTACTAACTGTGTACAGGTGACTGGGATTTGAGAGGAAGCAGTAGGCCATAAGGTTAGCAGGTAGATGGTAATTTTTAGGACCAAGTCTTGATTTTCTGTAGTCTTCTTGCTTGCACGACTTCCCAACCATCGGACTCTCCTTTAAGCCAGGCTCTGCAGAAGAGCCAGCATTGCACCGGGTAACCTCGCTCCTTACTCTGCCACTCCAAGCAACGTAACTGCAGTCAAAGCTTGCACACTTATTGTGACCAGCCCAGCGTTACTCAAGGTGACCACGGGGGACAGCTTGCTTTGCTGTGTGGGAGAGCCCATTCATTTCCATCGGATGAGCGCTGGTTCCCTCTCTTCCATGTCACCTACCTCAAAGAGCCCAGCGGTGGTCTAATCCCCGCTCCATGTTTTTGCCTTGTGTTCTCTCCCAAGTAAAACGCACAGACATCTCTTGCCTGGAAGGCAAGCTGTTAGCGGGAACCCTCCTGAGTGGGCTCCTAATGCAGTCTTTGGAGAGAGGTGTGTATAATCATGTACGCGCCAGCGTTTTGCATTTGCAACGAACAGATGTGGCTGCATTATTCAGTTTCCCTATTTGACTTTGCTGTGGAAATATACAAAAGAAAATGTGATGCCGATGTACACGTGTTTCCCAAGGGAAGATAATCTACTGGCAACAGAATTGGCTACCAGATACGGACGTGCCGAGGGAGTTGCACATGTTCCAACTAATTGTGTGTCATGTTGGTGGCTCATTGGATTTTCTGCCCCAAGTGTGATGATATACTGAGTCACTTCAAGGTTTCTTACCAAAGATGAAATGACTTCTAATTACATTTCCTGTGAAGTGATATTTATAGTGCAGTATGTGGACACGGCCTTAGAAAAATGTTTGTCTTAGTTTTTTTCCTACATTGGAAGGTGCCGTTCATATCCGAAAGAGCATGACTGTAGACGGACAGTTGCAGGAATGGTTGTAAACGTGAGCACTCTGTAACCACCACCCAGAGCACAGCAGAGCAGCGCTGGCTCTGGAAACCCTGGGCTGCCCTGGCTCCTCCTCCAGGCGGCTCACTTCTGTGGTAATGGTTTCATTGCTTTTCTTTACAGCTTCCTGAAAACCAAACGCCTTTCCATTAAGTCAGTCCTGACTTCTAGGCACAGGGAAGGACAGAGGAGAACTGCCCCATAGGGTTTCCAAAGCCGTACATCTTTACAGCAGCAGGCTGCCACGTCTTCCCCACAGAATGGCCGGTGAATTCAACCAGAGCTTTCTGTTAGCGGTGGTGCTTAACCCCTGCGGCCCAGGGCTCTTCTTTAGGGTTTGACCACCTTCCTCTCCATCGTTAGCAGCACAGGTTAGTTTTGCACACCTTATGCTTTGCTTTGTGTGCCCTTGTGCAAGTGCATGCGCCCCCTCAAATTTTGCACTAGGCACCATCCTGTCTCACCTCCACCCCAGCCCTGTGCTTGTGTTTGTAGCTTTGGCCTCTTTTTCACTGCTGTATAACATTCCATTGGGGGACACTGTACCATAGGAAATGAATGCAATGCATGCAAGGCCATCCTCTTACATGTATCGTGGTACATATGTGTACCTATTCTCTAGGATATACAGCATGGTGTGTTCCCATGTGGTCTTTTATCAAAGTAGTATGCCAAGTTATTTCTGGATAGCGAATGCTAAGACATGCTGATCCACTGTAAACGTGGTTTCATTGTAAACCCTAGCATTTTAGACACAATGTAAAGTATTTTCATTTTAATATGTATCCATCTACACACACACTCATTCACACACACTGTACCCCCAAGGGGACTGGATCCGTTTGCAGGTTACATGCACATTCTGCACAAGAGACTTCACTTTGAAAGAATGACCCGGCAGGTGCTTCTCTCCTGGAGGTCCTTTAGTTTCCCAGGGGAATGAAAGGAACCACACAAGATCATCTGGAGTTGATTCAGTCCGAGACAGGCATCTCTCAGAACTTTTGTTCTCCTCAGGTCTGGTGTCCCACTCACTGGCGAGAGAATGCGAATTGTGACTGGTGCGTAGCCTGTGTGACTGTCAGCTTCGGTGGTATGAGGCCTCCCTCCCTAAACTACATGTGACACCTATCGAAGTGATTATCCTATCTATTATTGGCTTGCATCCTGTGGTCTGTGATGGAAGCTGTTGGTCAAAGCACCTGTCTTTCATTGGTTGGACAGATTGGGATTGGCTATCTCTCTGAGACAGCCCCGGTTCTCCGCGAGCTGGGATGGCAAGCATTAGTACAAGAAGGAAAGTGTACTTATGTAACTGGTGATATCCGCATGAAGATGGCCATCCGTAGACTGGGTAGAACTCTGCGTCTGTCTGTTTGGTTCATAACTATGATTTGTATGATGATAGCGACGAGCTGGGTTAGGATCATTCTTTTGGTGAGGTGTGTTGGCTTAAAACTGCGTGTTTGGGCACACCAGTAATGCTCATTGTAATTTCCCTTTCCTGGAGGGCTAGTGATGCAATAAAGTACTTCTCCAGCATGGTGCCAAAAAAGTGCTGGGGGTTAACTAGCTAGGGAATGCAGGAAATGTGACTTAAGTGTAAAAGACAGTTTAAATTAGAATAATGGATCTGAACGCCTCCTACAGCTGCACTGATTTGCATGCATTATCGTTCAACCAGAGGCAACAGAGGGAACTTCATTGTACTAGTATTTGAAAAGAGTTGCATAATAGTGTTTTCTTTTTAAGCAAACAAACTCGGTTTACAATAGTGAAACATACTTCTTTAACTTTTAAACTTTATTTCAACTTAATGCAAAATTCTTTATACAACTTTGATCAGGGGTTTTGTCCCCCTCCCCCCTCCTTTTGCCCAGGCCCAACCTCCCTTGATTAGGAGTATGATTTATTTATTCATCTGGTCATTCGCTTCCATTTTTTAGAGCTTAATTCACATCTCACGAAAATTTCCTCCTGGGCTGGGCGGAGTTGGAGATCTTCCTTGTTTTCTGAGCAAAATGTCATTCTGAATAGAAAAACAGAAAGCAAACGAGGCATTAAGTTTTAGCTGCAGCTCGTGGAAGTGTTTCATCCTTTGTCAAATATTTACTCAATTTAAAGGAAGGCATGCAATGCTGTTTCTTTAATTAGAGGCTCGTGTTCGCAAATATTTTCATAACTTCAGAAGAAAAACAAAAACCCAAGCCAGTGAAAGCATTCATCTAGGACGTTCCTGGGAACGTCCCCCGGGCAGCATCAAAGAGCGGAGGGAAACTGTGGTTTCTTTCACTACGCTGCCCGGACTCCAGGGCACACAGTCTCGGTTCCTTCCAGGGTCAGGCGGAAACCCCAAGCCTTCCTTCTCTGCGCATGCTCCGGGCATCTCTGACAGCCCTCATCTGGCTCTCCGCGCGGCTCTTGATGTGTGAAGACACTGTCTGACCACAGGGAACACCCACTAGGAGTCTCCCTTGGAGACCAACTGCTAGACTCTGACTAGTTTCAAGATGCCATTCTATGTGTCTACTTCCAATTGCATGTGTTAAAAAAAAAAAAAGAAAAGTCACAAAGAATTCTGCTGTCTGTCTTATTCCTTCTTTTCCTGCTTCTCAGCACAAGCCTGTACTAAACGACAAAATTGTTACGAGGAACAGGTGGATGTGAATACTGCCAAACTTGGCCATTTTTCATCACACGTTAGGCGATCACTTTTTATGTCCTGCTGTGGGGTCAACAGGTTTGCCCTGCTCTCCACCCTCACACCAGACCCTGCTCATCCTGGCTTGGTACCTTTGGGGGAAGAAAGCCACTTCACATGAAATTCCACCCAGAATGTATCACTTAGACTAAAAAAAAAAAAATTCCTGTAGTTAGCTGATTTTCGCAGCAAGGGAAACAGATTCTGAAGGTTACCCAGGTTGGGTAACCCAGGTGGGGGGTGGGCAAAGGAGGGTGCACAGGTGTCGCCTTGGGTGAAACACAGGACAGTCATCCATGAGAGAGAGACGAGAAATCAGAGGGGAGAGGTGGGGAAGGGAAGGGGTGTGTGTGTGTGTGTGTGTGGTGGGGTTGAGTTGATAAGTAGCCTACATAGTAGAGGACAAAATGAATGATCTGAAATGTAAACTTCCACCTAATCCACAATTTAAGAGGTCGTTTTGGTTGTTGTTATTTTTCAAGTATTGGATTTAATGTTTGTATCCTGTCTTTGGGTTTTTTGGTTTCTAGAAGATATCAAAACACTGGTAGCCTCATGCTCATTTCTGACTGGAGAAACTGAGGCGCAGAGAGGTGGCGTGATTGCCAGAGATCCCGCCGAGGATCAGCAGTGACGTCCACATTTGAGTTCAGAACTGACTGCTGAAGTCTGCCGACTGAGCTGTGCTGAGCCCCGCCAACCTTCCCACAGCCTCGCGGATGCCCCTGAACTGCTCTTGTCCTCAGATTTCCTTCTGAACTTCAGGGCTGACCAACAAGAGTGGTCCATAGAGCATCAGCATCAGCATCAGCATCACTTGAACCTTGTTGGAAATGCAGACCACCCTCGCACCCCCTAGACCTCCTGAAGCAGAACTGAATTTTAACATCATGTCTGGGTGATTCATGGGCACATTAAATTTCAAGATGCGCTGGGATGGCGCACCCCATTAGCAAAATTGATGCCCTCAATTTTCCTTCTTAGGCTCTCAAGTTTCTTTATACCAAGAGCCACAGCATGCATTTGTCTGACATTCTTGTGTGGTCACATAGCAGCAACTCAGTTCTTACTGCTTAAACAACAGTATTCCCCCTGTTGCTCTTGTTCTTTATTATACACCTCCCCAAACCCTAAGAAGGAGCCCACTGGCATAGTGGTTACACACTAACCGCAAGTTCGGCAGTTAGAAATCACCAGTTGCTCCCCCAGAGAAAGATGGGGCTTTCTACTCCCATAAAGAGTTGCAGTCTGGGAACCCCACAGGGGCAGCTCTACCCTGTCCTGTAGAGAGGGTGGCTATGAGTCAGACTTGACAGAGAATTGAGTTTTGGGTTTGGAAAACCCTAAGAAGGGTTTTATGGGCCTATCTGTTAATGTCTCGTCCTGCACCTCTAACAGATGAGAGTAGGAAACAGCAGATTATTGGGGTGGGGGTCAAGATGAGTGGATGGAGCCTTGGTGGCTCAGAGGTTAAGTGCTCCACTGCTAAGGGAAAGGCTGGCAGTTGAAATCCATCTGGTGGGTTTGTGGGGGAAAACCCTGGTGTCCTCCTCCTGTCAAGATTGTTGGTGGTGGTGGTGTTTGGTGCTGTTGGGTCAGTTCTTACTCCTGGCGAGTCTATGGATCACAGGATGAAACATTATGTGGTCCCGCGTCATCCTCATAATGGTTCTTATTCTTGAGCCCATTGTTGCCGCCCAGGAAACCCTATGAGGGCATTGCTACGTGCTCACACGGGCTGCTAGGCGCTGGAAGGGCCTTTAGCACCATCACCACTAATGGGAGCAAGAAGGACCTCTGTTGGAAGTTTTATGGGTGGGCCACCTGTGAGCAATGTCAGCCTGAGTCAGATTCTTAACCATGTCCGCTAGCCTCAGATCAAATGAGGTGGATGGGCACAGGGACCCAGCCCCAAGCCTGCTGTGCAGAAGGAACTCCATCAGTGCCAGTCCCTCCTTTCGCTCGTCTTCGGCACTGTGTGGGTTGGCACCCGTGGAGAAGGGAACTCACAGAGCACAGTCATGGTGAACGACCTCCAGCACAGAGGTGTCCTTCTCCCACTAAGACAACTCTGGGGGAGTGGTGCTGAGAAGCAGCATTCTTCCACCGGGCCAACGAGTCAGGCCAGAATGGCTAAGTGTGTCAGAGGAGAGAAGCCATTGCCTTCCCTCAGACTGATCCTGTGGAGACGGCTGTGGGCAGGTGGCAGAGCAGGTTCTTCTTAAGTGCCAGCCTGGAGCAACCCAGGGAGAGAACATCTTAGAGTGTCGTCCTACCCAGAGACTCAGCAGCTGTCTGTCAGCCCCCAGGCTGGCTCCTGGCAGTGGCATTGGAGGGGTGAGGGAGGCAGGTTGCTTGGAGGTTAGAAGGCTCCCCATTTCCCATTTCCACTGAGCGCAAACCAAGGGGAGAAATGGGCTTCCCAATAGAGGAAGTGTGAGAGGACGGCCCAGTCTCCTGGATACAGGGGAGGAGCTAGGAAAGAGTTTGAGCAAGGGCAAGATCCTCTTTTCTCTGACAGGTGTGCAACTGCAGACCAACATGGCGCCATAGGCACCCTGTGGCTCTGCTGAGAAACCCGTAGGCACTGCAGGAACACGATTCTTTTCTTCACTCCCTCCTCACCACCCCTGCACCCCGGATCCCAGCCTCTACAGCCCTGGCAGCTTTGAGACCAGGAGAGAGGTTCGCATACACACGGCAGTGTTCGTCAAGTGCAGCCTACAGCCGACTGGTCTCTATCAAAGCGGTCCAGATCATTAATGCGCTTGGCTACTCACGAAAGGCTTGGAAGTTTTCGAAAAGGCTGGGGATCTACTTCCGAAAGATCAACTATTGGAGATCCCGTGGAGCACCAATTTGACACACGTGCACGAGGTCATCATGAGTCAGAGTCAAGTCAAGAGCAACGGTGCCTGGGGATGGCCTGATCCACATCAGAATTTCTTGGGGCCCTGGTGAAACATGTTCATTGCCAGGTTCTCTGATAGGGTGCAGTGAAGCGGAAGCTCTGCGGGGGTGGTGTGGTGGGGTGGGGGTGGGGCTCTGGGAATGCTGCCCATGGCATAAGCTCCTCAGTGGCTCTTACACAATCTAAGATTTAAATGGCACCACCCTAGAGAAGGGTCACTTGACACCTTGAGATCGTGACCCGTTGAAAAGATTTCTCTGGGTAAACACTGAAAAAGAGATGTCACCTCTAGGTGCTTGTCCCTCCTAGTGAGGTCCTCAAAGTGGTCTGACTTCACCTGGTGATGTTTGTGAGGTCCTAGGCTGACGAGGTGGTTCTCAGTCTCTGGAGGCAGTAGCCGCTGGCCGTGGGAAGAGACAAGACTGGACATCAACAGCCCTGCGTTCAAATCCTAGTCCTTCCACCCAAAGCCAGGTGACTTGGGAGGATTCCTTCACCTTTCTGAGCGTTTATGCTCTATCACCTGGGCATAATCACAACTACTTCATAATGACCGATACAGATGATAATTAAGTCTTAGATTGTGAGGTGTGCCTGGCACACGTAGGCACGGAAGATCGGTTAGTAGGGGGTTGAATCAATAGTCACCTTTGCTGGGTTTCTCCGGCTTTGACTTTGATGGTCTTCAGAAGGAGCCCGGAGTAGCTGGTTCCTGTGCCCCATGGCATGATGGTTTGCACGGTATTCCAGACGTTGACCCATACGTCACTGCTTTCCCACTTGAGCTTGATCATGGTCAGCTCGCCAATATCAAAGTCCAAGGTGATTAGAAAGGAGTAGGTCTTATTACTAGTAATTCCTTCGCCCCTTGAAGATACAAAGGAAACCAGACATAGTCAGTTTACTTGTAATAGCAAAGCAACACCGAGGCACAGCCAGGGCAGGTCAGCATTGGTCTGAGTTAGAGGGGGTGGCCTTTTTTTGCTGTTTTCCCCAACCTGGTGTTCAACAGAAATAGAGGTAACAATAGGGGTGCCAAGGAAAAATGGGGCATCCAGACCAAAAGGACTGGAAAAAACATCCTGTTTCCTGTGTTAGCCTATTTAAAAGGTTCTGAGAAGTCCTGCAATAATGAATCTAGTTAACTTTGTTTAGCTCAGGTTATCTCTTCTTTACTTTTAGGTAAATAAGTCAGGAAAGTCATTCTTGAGGAGAGAGGGGTAATCTTCTCCGGATATCTGTGTTCTCCGTAGGTTTGATTAATCTAGTGAATTCACATCATGCTCCTTCCCTGCCCCCAGGAAGCTTTTCGCTTCCATACAAATAACAATTTCCATTAAAACAGTAAGGCAGAGAAGTCATAGAAAACCGTACATGAAAAGATACACTGATTTGGAGCAAACATGTAATGCCGACTCAAGTATAACTATCAGCTTTACTCACCAGACAGCTGTGCTCACGAGACACGCAAACACCCCAACATCGACAGAGCGGCTGGAGGCCTTTGCCATGATTTAGGACCGTCCCCTGGGAGTGGGATTTGGGGGAGCGCGGAGGTCCTACTGCAGCCCTGGTGGTGTCGTGGTTACGAGTAGGGCTGTGATCTGCAAGGTTGGCATCTTGAAACTGCCAAACTGCCAAGGGACCAAGATGTGGCTTTCTACTCCCACAAAAAATGAACAGTCTTGGAGACTCACGGGGACAGGCTGCCCTGTCCTATAGGGTCGCTGTGAGTCAGTATTGCCAGGATGGCAGCCAGTTAGGTTCTTTGGTTTGGAGGTAACACTGAATTCTGGATGAGCTGATGGCGGCGGGTCCCTTGCTCGGCTCATCCTGGTCCTTTCTGCAGAAGATGGAGAGCCCCAGCTCCTCCCAACAATGGTCTAGATCAGTGGTCCTCAACCTTCCTAAGGCCGCGACCCTTTCAAACAGTCCCTCCTGCGGTGGTGACCCCCAACCACAGTTATTTTCCTTGCTGCTTCATCACTGTCATTTTGCTACTGTTATGAATCAGGCAACCCCTGTGAAAGGGTCGTTCGACCCCAAAAGGGTCGCAACCCACAGGCTGAGAACCGCTGGTCTAGATAAACCATTGAGCTTTGAAGGCCAGGGTCCTGCTATCTCTGGTATGGAGCACCCAGCGCATTCTTGTGGGATGACCGAATCAGGCCATATTCAGGATTGAACTGTGTCCCCTGAAAATATGTGCTGGACTCTTAGCCGCAATCCTTGTAGATGTACCTTGGAAATGAGGTTTTTATTTCTTTGTCATCTTAATCGGGTCACGATCAGGGTAGGGTGTGTCTGAAACATGAATGACCTGTGACATCAAAAGAGCAGAGCAGATGCAGCAAGTTCAAAACGCACTGCCGCTGAGTCGATGCCAACTCGTAGTGACCCTAAAGGAGAGGGCAGAGCTGCCCAGGAGAGTCTTTGAGCGTGTAACTCTTTACGGGAGTAGAGAGTTCCTGCTTTCTCCTGAAGAGAGTCTGGTTTTGAACTGCTGATCTTGTGGATCTCAGCCCCACATGCAACCACTCTGCTACCAGGGCTTCTAGCCACAGCAGAGGAAGCACAAATGGGAGAGGGCACCTGCCACATGGAGAGTACCAAGAGACACAGGTGCATGAGGGCTACAGAAACCTGGACAAGGCTTTCGCCCATAGCCTTCAGAGAGACCTTCCCCGATCGTTGGCTCCTGAATCTGGATTCTGACCTCCTAAACGGGAGGAAACACATATCCGCTTGCTGATGTCATCCACTTGGGGTATTTCTGTTACAACAGCACCAGGAAGCTAAGACAGGGATGTAGGATGGAAGGGAGGGGGGTGCCGGTGCTACCAGATTAAGAATAAAATGCTGTGCTCAGAAGCCATTCTGATTCTCCTGAAATCCAAATTCCTGGGGATGGCCATGCAGGCCATTGATGTCCTTGAGCCTTGAAGAAGAACTGATTTCTCAAAAGACCTTTGGGTCAAACAATGTCTAAATAAGCTAGTAAGAACGTTTTGCCATCGGCATTGTGCTCAAAGAATTGATTTCATTTTTGAGAAACAGAGACACTGTAGGTCAGAGTGAGAGGTGTGTTTTAGGGCAAATAAGTCATTCTTTGAATTGCTCTTCAAGAAAGAGCAGGGTGAGATTCTCCTTGACTCGCCACCCCTGGTTTCCCTCTGCTCAGCCCATGTTGCACTAGACCCATCACACACACACACACACACACACACACACACACACACACACTCACACTCACTCGCCATGCTAACAGAAAGTAGAATTAGGGTGGTACTGAGGAGGGGTGACACGGTGTGGGCATCTGACAGGAGGCTTGGGGCAGACGTACGGATTGAGATTGTGTCTGAAAGTCTGAAGGCCTGCTAGACCTGGGGAGGAAAACAAGCATGTCGTCAGACAGAAGCTCTGGGCACCTGATACTCACAGAGTGATGGGAATTTGCTGCGTGTCCTGTTTCGTTCCGAAGAGTGACAAAGTCAATGTGGGTTCTACTGGTTTCTCAATTTGGTTGACGAATTGAATCTTGAATTGGTAATGATAAACTAGAGAAAGAGAGAGGGGCAATTGAGCAGGAGTTTTAATTAAAATTCTAATAAGCGTAACATTTGGAAAGGAAGAGAGAGAAAAATGTACATGGATAGATACTAACATGTTCACTTGAGTTTCTTTTTCTGGGAGGTAGGACTCTGAATCTTTCTTTTTTATTTTCTTTGTTTCTTTGTATTTTCTAAATGTCTACAGAGGAGTTAGGTTGTACTTAAAATATAATAAGAGTAAGGGAGGTAGCGGGCTACCTGAGGGCTTGCTACCTGTGAGGTCAACCATTTGAAAGGATCAGATGCTCCTGGGGAGACAGACAAGGCTTTCTATTCCCACAGAGAGTTCCAGTCTTAGAAACCCACAGAGGCAGGGCCACCCTGTCCTATAGGGTTGCTACGAGCCAGAACAGACTCGACGGGAGGGAGACTTTTCAAAGCATTACTTAACAAAAGAAGGCAGAATCGAAGGGCTCATGCAGCCTTGGTGGCATTCTCGGGAATTGTAGATAAAAAACCTGCAGGAGCACGTCGTGCATCTGGCAAAGGTCCCTTTCTGTAAGTCAAAGACTGTCATACATTTAGATACCTGTGTAGTAAATAATCGGCGTGACCTTTGTTCCAAGTCCCTAGGAGGTAACCTCCAAATCTTGGGAATGTCCTGAGTGCTTGGAGAGTCTTTGCTGTTCGTGGTGAACCCCTCTAGAGCCCATGCTGACAAAAGGACAAGGATGGAGATCCGAACAGTCGCCTGAGTAGCAGTTTGGAGCTTTGAGTCACGTGCTGTTGGCTGGAGCTTGTATCTCAGCACATTTAATGCATCCTGCCTACACCATGAAGCCTCCGTAAAACACTCAGCAAGGGTGACAAATGCCTAGGGACATTAAGTTTCACCCAGACCCCTCCCTAGGCTTCCCTCCCTGTGGTCAGATTTGTCTCCTTTCGCTACAATCATCCTGAGAGCTGTGAGTCACTGTAGCCAACCACTAAACCCGACGGAGTAGGGGGATGGGTGCTGGCTGGTCAGAAGTGAGGGTGGCCCTGAGACCTTGAGTTTGCATGTGCAGATCTGGACAGCCTTGGCAGTGTGTGAGTCATGGTCCTTAATCTTTGAAGTCTGGTCCGACTCCAGGTTGTTGTTGTTGGAAGCACGCCATTGGTAGCACTGACGGAAGCAACAGACTGCTTGGCTATGTTGCCCCATCTGTCTGATGAGGCCGAGCCTGAGTGGGGTTTGGCTCTGCTAAATATGTCCTCTAGGGACCACGCCTTTGCATCCTGGGGCCAGCTCTTGAGAACTAACTCTAGAATTCAACAAGCACATTTCCCAGTGGAAACAAGATAATTTTAACTTTGGGACTTGTGTCTAAAATGTTCGGTCTTATCAAATGTCCAGAATGTCATTCTACTGGGTTGATTAGAAGAGTGCAGTCTATCTTATTTTTCTTTACCTAAATACACTCTATACGTAACTGATAAAAGCAAGTTGTCCCCCAACCAGGCAGGCACCATGGGAACCCGTCGTACTACATAGTGTCATTTTGTTCCATCCTAAGGAGTCCTGGAGGTGCAGCGGGTTACAAGTTGGCTTGCTAACCGCAAGGTCAGCAGATCAAAACCACCAGCTCCTCTGGAGAAAGACAAGGTTTTCTACTCCTGTAAAGAATTACAGTCCCCCACCCCCACCCCCAGGGAGACGACTACCAGAAATGTGGGTGAAGGGAGACAATGGACAGTGTAAGACATGAAATAACAACAATAATATATAATTGATCAAGGATTCACGAGGGTGGGAGGGTAAGGAAGGGAGGGGGAAAAAGAGGAGCTGATACGAAGGGTTAAGTAGAAAGACAATGTTTTGGAAATGTTGATGGCAACATATGTGCAAGTGTGCTCAATACAATTGAACGATGGATTGTTATAGGATTTGTAAGAGCCCTCAATAAAATGATTAATTGAGAAATAAAAAGTTACAGTGTCAGAAACCCACAGGGCAGTACTACCCTGTCCTATAGGGTCACTCTGAGTCATTATTGACTCGATGGCAGTGAGTTTTGGACCAACTTGTATGGTGGGCATTGTGGCTCTCATCTAGTTTCATGGATAAGAAAACGGGCTCAGAGAGTCATTTGCTCAAGGTTATATTTGCTCAAGGTCAAGTATAGCGGAGTCTTTGCTGTTCACCTCCCCGAACCTACTACTAAGGTTCCTAGCTGGCCCAGGGCTCAGCCTGGGCCACAAACTGGCTGCGAGCTCTTATAAACACGACCCCCCCTCATTCCAAATGGCCGAAGCTGCATGGACTTCTCTTGCTCTCACCCTATTCTCTAAGAAACTGGTGTCTTAGCTCCAAGCTTATAAACCATTTTTACAAGAGTTTGTAAATTTTACTTGCTTGCCAGTGATGGCCTAAAACCTCATGTTGACATCACACCGGAGGAAGTAGTGGGAACCCTTGAATTTAGAACCAGCCGGTCAGAAGCTAGGGTGGCTCTGAACGCGAAGCAGGTGTGAAGTCTTGGCAGACGGCAGTCTGGAGGCCAAGGTGATAACCACAATGTCCACCTTCTAGGGTTGTTGAAGAAAAATAGGAGAAGAAGCAACGGTGACCTGTTTCTACAGTAGCTGCCTCATGGTAAGCAGTCTGTGCTCACTAAGTGAGCACAGAATTTATCAAGGTAAAGAAAAATAGGGCAAGTTCCTCTCTGCCCACTTGGAGACGCACCGTGCCCAGGCTCTTGGGAAGACTGGTGTCTGCTGTGGGCCGAGGATGGGGGATTTAGAGTACGTTTGCTGTGCCTCCGGCCTTCACCTTCTGCAAAATGGTTACTCCACTAATCCTGTGACAGTGCTTGGTATAGAAATCAGTTGCTTTCAAATTACTTCCAACTTGGGGTCCCCTCCCATGGGTTCCAGGGCAGAACTGCCCCTAAGGCTTTCTTGTCTGTCACGAAAGCTGATGGTTAAGCTTTCTTCTGCCGGGCTGCTTAAGTCATCACGAACTGCTCGCACCCACAGGGGCCTCCCCTCGCCTATAAAAACCCAACCCAGCCAGGTGCTATGGCGTTGATTCCGACTCCTCTGAAAAGCCCACTGCCGTCCTGCTCCTTAGGGATGCCAAGCCAGTCAGTGGTGATGGGAGCAGACAGCCTCATCTTTTCCCTGTGGACACCCAGTGGGTTTGAACCATGCTCTTTGTGCGGTGAGCCGCCCGGTGTTTAACCCCCGGCGTGCACCACCAGGCTCCTTAACCTGGCCCATAGTCAGCGCTGCTCACCTTCCTGAGCAATCTGGCAATCTGCTGGTGCGGGTGGGGTGCAGGTGGGGCTAATGCATCACAATGAGTATTCACATCCAGCAAGATGAAAACCACCTTTGAAATGCATGAGCTTCCAGCTTTGACACCCGAGAATTTCTACTGAAAACCACAGATAAAGGTGAGTAGCCACTGGATCATGCCTCTGTGCACGTGGCATCATCTTCATGAATCAATCTACCAGCCCCCCCTGGTGCCATTTCCACTGGAGGTTGGTAGCTGCTTAGCAAACTTAGCAGCAGCTGTTGCCAACATACCAGCTGCAGTGCCTGGGTGTGCCTGTACTGCTGGGTTCCCGGATGGCTTACACAACCCCACCCTTTGGCATACACTCATCGCCTCATCTGGGTTTCCTGGTGGAGTGCCTCATGCCTTGGGTTTACTTAAAGCAGTTCTCTTTGAAGCACCAAATGATGATGCTTACTGAGGCCCATCAATAACCAAATGGGAAGAGTGGATGTGCAGCCCAAGGACTTTGCTGAACGCAGTAAGGCGAGCTCAGCTAGCATCTGGCACCACTCACGGTGTCCTGTTCATCCAGCTGCTCACAGAGCCAAGCTTGGACTTAAGTGGTTTGATGTCTTCAAGACCGTGAGGCTGTGAGTGGAAAACAGAGAAGGATGGGCCAAGGCCCAGGGAAGGTCCCTAAACTGGTGTTACAGCAATAGCGGCAGAGACTGTGGCCTATTATCCTACAAGTCTCTGGAGAGGCCTCACACTACCCAGTGTCTGTCAAGAGAACTAGGAGTGCTCCTGCAAAAAAGCAAAGGCCCTTCCAAGGACACAGGCCATGGCTTCTGGGTTGAGGAGGAAGGCCGATGCAGACAGGATTGGCCTGGGGCTGTTCTCTGAGCAACCAGCCAAAAGATCTTCCTGGACACTCAAGGAACTCTCATAGCACCTGCTTTTCAGCCCACTTTGATAGCTATTGGTGGTGTAATGGGTTACATGTTGGGCTGCTAACTGCATGGTTAGGAGTTTGAAACCACCGCTCCTCCTTGGGAGAAAGATGAGGCTTTCTACTCCAGTAAAGAGTTCCAGTCTTTGAAACCCACAGGGGCAGTTCTACCCTGTCCTATAGGGCTGCTGTGAGTCAGAATCAACTCATGAGACTGTGTGCTCCAGCCCGTGCCTCTGGGGATAAATAAGTGGAGGTATATTGATGAAAAGCCCAAGTAATAGCAATAGCTAATCTTTATGGTGTAATTGCCACCTGCCAGGCTTGACACCTGTTGTCTTATGTAGTCCTTGCAGCAACCTCAAAGCAGTTGTGATCTTACTATGCAGAAGAGCAAACAGAAGCACAGAGATCCACACAGCTAGTAGGTAGCGTAGCTGGGATGGGAGTCTAGACAGTCAGATCCAGAACTGAAACTCTTAAACACTTGGGGCCAAGAGCTTTAGGCACCCTGCACACAAAAAAATTGAGATGTGGGAAAAGATTTAAGTTAAAAGGCAGCATAACAGAGTTATTTATTTAAAAGTAAACTGAAGCACCCTAAATATTTTCCAATAGAGGAAGAATAATAACCCCAATGATAATGACTGTTTAGCGATTTGCTACATCCTGGCTTCCAATCCTTTCACATAACGACCTCATTTATTTTTACAACTTTAGAAAGTCCTTACTTTAACCTCCCTCATACATCACTTTACAAATGATGAAGCTGCAGCTCCGAAAAAGGTGAGT